TCTATGTGCTTGCCGAAATCCATGTTTTTAAAATGGTTCTTCGCCCCATCGCTTAAAAATTCTCGAAGGTGCCCTTTGTTGAATAACCGGGCTACTTCCTTTCTTAGTTGCCTGCAATCTATCGTTCTGTGGCCATGGGTGCCATGATATTCACACATTTGATTGGGATTCCTCTGGGCAAGATCGGTATGCATGGGTCGAGGCCATTTAGTGTCTTTGATGCATCCGATAGCCGATACGATGGCGGATGCATAAATGCTGAAGTTATACTCCGATAACCGAGGTGCTTCCTTAGATCCGACAGGCCTATCGAACCTATTTCTGTTCATCAGCCCCTGGGACCCTTCACCTTTCTTATTTTGCCTGAGGTTATGTCTCGATCTATTGAATCTGTGACTTCCGTTGTACGGTTGGTATCGATCCCCGATCGGGCCTCGTTCTCGATTAGTATCCCTTCGAACAGCAGGTTCCGACCCCAATTGATCATCTTCGACTCTAATTTTTGATTGGTACCGATTGTGCACGTCGGACCACGTGATAGCTGGGTATTCGATTAGGTTATGCTTTAATCGCCGTGAAGCCGTCGAACTTCGTTCGGTCAAACCTTGAGTGAAAGCCTGAACATCCCAATCGTCTGTGACTGGTGGTAAGTCCATTCGTTCCATTCGAAAACGAGATACAAACTCCCTCAGCATCTCGTTATCCTTTTGCCTTACCCTGAAGAGGTCCGATTTCCTTGTTGCCACTTTTATGGTGCCGGCATGTGCTTTCACAAAAGAATCTGCTAACATGGCGAACGAGTCGATGGAATTTGGTGGTAGGTTGTGATACCAAACCATTGCCCCTTTCGAGAGGGTCTCTCCTAATTTTTTCAACAACACAGATTCGATTTCATCTTCTTCTAAATCATTGCCCTTGATGGCGCATGTGTAAGAAATGACGTGCTCGTTGGGATTAGTTGTTCCGTTATATTTGGAAATTTCGGGCATACGGAATTTTTTGGGGATTGGTTTTGGGGCTGCGCTCGAGGGAAAAGGTTTTTGCACGAATTTTTTCTAATCCAACCCTTTTATCAATGGTGGAACTCCCGGAATATGATTGACCCTAAAGTTGTAAGTTTCTATTTTTTTATCGTTGGCTTCGACTCACTTTGTGAGTCTTTCGAGCAATTTAGCAATTTCGGGAGTAGTCCCCGATTCTTGCTCATTTGACTTCACTATGGCTGGCTCCATTCTGTGGGTGATTTCTCGAGGTGGATTGGACTCCGGCCTGCTTTGTAGCTGGGTTTGGCTCTGCAACTGAGCTAAAGCTGCCTGTTGGGCTTGCAATATTTCGAAAATCACACGCAAGCTAACGCCGTTTTCCTCGACGTTGTGGGTATCTCGAGCTGCAGACCGAGTGCCACCATGGATGCTATTTTCGGGTTCAGCATGCAGGTTCGCCTCAATAGCTATATGCGAATTGATGTCTATTGGCTCTCCGATTCGAGCTCCAACGGTGTTTATGAGTGGTCCTTCAATACCGGGTGCCAAGTTGTTGTTTTCGTCCTGAAGACCGGCCCCGTTGTCGATTGGTGAAGCCATTTGATTGATGGTTAGTCGTAGCTAATCCGAAATTCAAGATATTTTTGGAGACAAGCGTAAAACACAATGGCGTGTCTTTTCAGATTCGTATCAAATAATCACTGTTATTCTTGGCCCCACGGTGGGTGTCAAACTGTTTACCCGAAAAATGGATAAAGTTAAATTTATACGTAGTTCCAAGGATACGTGGCGCAACTTAACACAAATTGTAAGGATAAATAGAAACGTAAATATGGATTGCAAAGAATATAAAATAGATAAGGTCGTAAAGAAAATGAATCTTAGGATTCAACAAGTAGAAACAATTTAAGAAGCCTGAAAGAACGATGCTTTACTATGGGAGAATATAGTATTTTTATTACAATGTAAGCCTGAAAAAACTTGTCTTTATAGAAATGGTAAACATGCCCTTTTATAGTGGAGGGACTTTGCTCTAAGCATAATAAAATAAACACTCAATGGAAGACCCATGATAAATTAATTTTTTCACAATTTCTGCCAAGATTCTCTCTAGTGGGATTGCAACGGCTTTTGTCGGCGAGCTCGATCTTGCTTAGAGCCCTCAATTTTGACTCGAGCTCTCGATCTTGGCTCAAGCCCGATTCTGGCTCGAGCTCTCGAATTGATTCAGGGTCAATGTTGGTTGGTCTCTGAATTATAAGCATGATAGATTTCCTCTGCATCATAGTTCGATTTGGAGTCGAGCTCGATAACGATGTCGAACTCGACATGGATCGGCCCCCGGGTTCGAGGCTTGTTTGTTCCATCTTCGGAATCTCATTTCGATCGATACACGTTCGAACTCGATCGGACGTACGAATACCGAAATCTATTTCGACCGTATGCACCGAGAATAATTAATTTTTTCTAAAAGAACAAGATTAAAAACAAAGCGAAATAAGACTGAACGAATTTTTCTCGTAAAAGACTTAGGGAACTGCATTTAGACAATGACTTCATGATTTGAGTCTTGATGTCAAGAGTAAGCGTCATCGGGATGATTTATTTGCAAACTTCAGTACGAGGAGTACGGATGGGTTCTAAAAATAAATGAACAAGCTTTTATATGAGTATATTGCAACGACCTCAACCTCTTCTTATTTTGTATTTTTTATATTTCCTTCTTTACGAACTAGAGAGTTATAAAGATGAAATACAGCACCGCGCAACGACTTCAAGTCTTTGTTATTTGAATAAAGATTGAAAGCACAAAAGATAAAGGTAAATAATTTCGAATAAATTGATTCAGAAGTTTTTGAGCCAAAAAGAAAAGATTTAAACAAGAAGTTAGGAAAAAAAAATTGGGGACTCGAAACAAGAAATTTGGTACTATGACTTCTCTTGAGGGTATTCATTAAGAGATGAACAATAGATAAGGAATAGTAAAATAAAATTTTGAATTAAATTTTGCATATAGTTTCTGATTTATTATTATTATTATTATTATTATTATTATTATTATTATTATTATTATTATTATTATTATTATTATTATTATTATTATTATTATTATTATTATTCAGGAATAAAAAATTCTCAGTAACTTTTTAATTCGGGATAATTTCAAAAATCGCTTCTAAAGTTTCCTTTGTAATATTCACAATCCCTAATTTTGTATTTTTTGTAACAGTCTAACTTTAATTAATAAAATTTCTAAAAAAAACGGTTGGCCCTCTAGTGACATTTTTTTTAATAAAAATAAGGTATTTAACCAAACTAGAATATATGAATTTTAAAAATCAGCCATCATATTTAATTTCTTATTAATTGTTTATGCAGTCAGGAGAGGACTAAAAAGTTATATTATTCTTAAAGAGATTCTGCATCAGATGATGAAATCTAACAAAACCAAATATTACTGACAGATTGCAATATATTTAAGAGCGAGAAAATTTAAAAATATGAGACTATAAAAACTTAAGATATATTTGTTTCTAGAAAAGAAAAAAAGCTCATTTTGATCAAAAGAGAGCAATATATTATACCAATTATTCCTATAACAATTATATGTACATGCATAATGTAGTTCTTGCTTTAATTATAAGAACGAACCTCCCCCCTCCTCCCCCCAAATCCCTTTTGTGGAAGCAAGAAAGTATCTTTAGGAAGCAACACAAGTAAGAATTGAAGCACAATCATCATATATATACATCAAAAGCTTTGAATGGGGTGATTGTCAAAACATAAGGAAAGTAAATATTACAAAGGTAGATCTTGAGAGAGGTTTCTAAAATAATTCTTTTTAATTTTTATTCATCTAATAGTTCCACTAAAAAGGAAACAAATAAAGGGTGCACCCTAACCCTCCTCCTCTACACAACAGAAAAGAAAAAAGAAAGAATGTAAGAAAGAGCAAACATGAAACAAAGACATTGAGTTGTCAGATATCTATTATTGGTTGGTGGATATATGACTTGTTCATTCTTTAGAAAAGCTTTCACATTTGTCCAACATTCCAACTGTTATTTCATTTTCTAACTAGTAATTACGGTTAATGACATTCCCAAATTCCCATAACAATTAAAGGAGGAAGTTAATATTGGATGTTAAGCGTTAAGGTTTAATTTGGTTATGTCTATGTCATACTTTATACTATAAGTGTGACCAAGGGAGGTTTGAGTTATAAATAAATTGTTTGGTTATAATTGAATTGGTTTGCTTAGTGGGAACAACCTAGTGATAGTAAAGTTTTTATTTTGGATCGTGACAAAGGACTGTTATGATCATCAAGCAAAATTCATTTTCTCTTCATTGTAATTAGCTAAGATATTCATTTTAATTAATTTCGAACGGTACAACACGCTAAAGAATAGATAAAGAGAAGTCCTTCCACATGAGTACAAAATTATAAATTGATTGTACCTATCAAGGAAACTTCATTACATAGTGTATTTTTTCTCCTACTCTAAATAATTAGTTATGTAGTCTACACGCAAGTAAAATAGCTAAAATAAGTCCTTTTGAAAATATAACATGCATATAATTTTAATTAATCAACTTCATAATGATTTAAATTAGATAATTAAATATTTAATTTCATTTTCATCTCATTAAGATCCTTGGCGTTATTAGATGCAAAATTACCTAGATTTTCCACTTTCACATACTAAACTGATTTCCTAATAAGAGAAATAACTCCACCAACCGTGGCGGAGCCACTTATAATTGGAAATTTATATTATTTAGTTAGGTATGTTGGCTCTCCTTATTTTCTTCATGTGTTTTATTTTTTTATATTTTAATACTCCTTAGTAATATTTCTAGTTCTGCGCCACTGTCCACCACCCCACCCTAGCATCACCTACCCACTCACCCTCCACCCCCCTACACCCCATCCCAGAATATAGATACAGAAAAAAATAGTTATCTAGTGGATGACGAGTAAGGTCCAAAATCTATATAATAACCATAGGATGAAAGGAGTTGTTTCCAAATCCACTTTATTGTTAGAGATGGAACATTCACTAATGTCCACTGGAAGTTACTTTTTGCTCTTCTCTTCTTCTGCGTTTCTTCTCATTTTGCTTTCATTCTCTGTGGAGAAAAGCCATGCTTTGGAAACAAGAGAAACCATTGAATCCCATTTCCACACTCTCCAACTCAGCTCTCTGCTTCCTTCCTCTTCTTGCAACCCTGCAACCAAAGGTAATTAACTCTCCTTATCCTCATAATATTTACTACTAACTCAAATAGATAACATAATTCACGTATGTAGATTTTTTTTTTTTTTTTTTTTTTTTTTTTTTTTTTTTGGTGTGTGTGTGTGAATATAGTATGTTTGTCTATTTTTAATTTGTTGTACATTCCGATCACCATTTTCATTTTAATTTTAAATCTTCATCCTTGATTTTCTTTGGTGGGTGTGGTGGCCTGAGGTTGAATGAGTGGAAAAGGGGAGGGGATTATTTTGTAATTATCTATTCTATTTAACGTAACAGTTTTTCTTTTTTAGTTCAAAAATGATACTCATATCTTTTTATATTTAAAAGGACTTTAGTTCAGACTTTTCATTTTATCTTTAATTAGACACTCTTATATTACAACATGTTTAAAATTACAAGTTTAAATAATACTTTAGGTACATATTCAAAGTTTTTCTTTATTTTTAGTGATGAAATATATTTTACATAAATTATTTTTTTTCTTTTTCGTTTTGCTTGTTTGTTACTTGGTTGTGAGATTGGGGTTGGGGTTGTGGTGAGAAAAAGCAGGTCAACGAATTATTTGATAATTTGCTTTTCCAAAAGTTATAAGGTGAAAGTAACGCAATAATCCACATGATTGAACATAGCGTTTTCACTTGTTCCCTTTTGTTTTCACTATATAGAAGAACTTTAACAACAAACAAGAAAAAAAAAAAATGTAACCATAATCATATATTATATGATTCGAACTAAAATTACTTTTACCCTAAGATATTACATTTTATATGATGGGGACCAAAGTTTTGCCAGTATAGATTTTTAATGGAGCGAATAAGTGTGAATTTTCTAACAAATTCACGATAGTATCGGAAAAAAGTACAAACTGATTGATAAGTTTTAAATTAAAATCCTTCTGATGTAATAACGCTTTAAAAGGATATTGCTTTCATCAGCACTAAACTTTGTACCTGCATTGCACGTTAGTTTGCAATTATTGATGATTTCATCTTCACTATTTGCTAGCTCCAGCCTGTCATGCAAGTTTCTGGAAAATTAATAATTGAATATTTTGGTAAATAAAGTAGAAAAGAGGAAGAAAGTAAAATATAATACCATAACTCACTAATGGTGAAGATTAAAATAAAAGAAGAAGAAGAAAACAATTTGGTGAAGATTTCTCCAAGCTACATCCTAACAACTAGTCAAAATGTAATTAATATGTTTTATGATTTATTATGTGCAATTAGTCAAAGTTATCTCAACTTACTTAAACTTCTTAAAGATATTTTAAATTACTAATTGTTGTGAGTTATACTACTTTTGATGTATTTTTCAAATATATAAATTTTAATTTCAGAAAACTTGAAAAATCTATGTCCAAATTCACATAAAAAATTAAGTAATTTATTTTTAGTACTCTGAATCCCGCTACATGAAATGAAAAGGGATGTGCGCAAGGTGCACTAATATTTGTACTTGATTATTTTCGTCAATTTTCCCATTGGATGGCGGATATATGTCTATTTATTCAAAAACTTTATAAGTGGATTGATCTTCATAAATGCTAACAGCTTTTACACTGATTATACCATATATTCCAGTCAACTTAATTCCTTTTTCAAACCATAAAGGTTAGGATAGGAATAAGGAAGAGAACGAGTAGCTAGAAGTTTCTTTACCGAACTATATTGATGCGAAAGTGTGAAAATGAGGACTTATTTCCTCAGTATAATGATTTTTTTTTATATCACTAGTGTTTTAACTCGTGATAACTGGTTACTTATTATTTATTAAAGCTTACAAATTGTTTCAATTTAAAATAATTACATGCAATTACTTTTTAAGTAATATAATTATATAAATATTTTAAACTGTTAGTACACAGAACTTATAGAGTTACTCCATAAATCAAAGCAATGTTATTTAGAAAAGCTACCTACAATCATCTTTTCCCCTTAGCTTGTTTGGATGGTAGACAAGAGAAGGAAGAAAATTTGAAGAAAAGCGTTTTATTTTTTTTGTATAAGAAAATGAATAGAATAAGCAGAGAAAATAATTTCTTTCAAGACCTTGCATAATACTACAAAGCAAGAGAAAGAAAATTTCATTTACTATTATTTTCCCTTCATATCATATCTATTAATCTCTCCACCATAAACACAAAGCATTGCACTTACGAGTGAGAGACAGCTGTAGATCTAACTTTACTTTGAGACAAATGATTAGAGCTGAAAACCATTGTCTTGTCTTTAATTTATTTACCAAATGATTACTTCAAAATACTTTAATGAAGTATGACTCGGGTCTTCTAAAACTTTTAAGGGAAAATTATTGCTTATGTTACCTGACTTTTCTTTGACCACCTTTTATATTTTAATCTACTTTAGAAAAGGACTTCATTTTGGTCTTGTTAATATATAGAGGCAATAATTCCAACATAAACTTTACGCACATACTTGTTCTTTTGTTATTATTGGACATTATTTTTGAACTTTCTTTACACAAGGAAAAGATACTTCCTCCGTCTCCCTCAAAAAAATATCATTAAACATGTGGTCATAAACATTTCACAATATTTTTATGAATATAAACATATCTCATTAAGAGTAAAAGACTGACTATTTTCGAATTTAGTATATAACTTTTGATTCAAATAATTACCCTATTTCTTTTCTTAAATAATATTTTCAGGTAAAAGAAGAGGGGCATCATTGGAGGTCGTCAACAGGCAAGGCCCGTGTACCTTACTCAACCAAAAGGGAGCAAAAGCCCCAACTCTGACCGAAATCTTAGCCCACGATCAAGCCCGAGTGGACTCAATCCAAGCCCGCATCACAGACCAAAGCTACGACCTCTTCAAGAAAAAAGACAAAAAATCTTCCAACAAGAAGAAGAGCGTAAAAGACTCAAAAGCCAATCTCCCTGCACAATCCGGCCTTCCTCTCGGTACCGGAAACTACATCGTCAACGTCGGACTTGGAACTCCAAAAAAAGACCTTTCCCTCATTTTTGACACTGGTAGTGACCTCACTTGGACTCAATGCCAACCTTGTGTCAAATCCTGCTATGCTCAACAGCAACCAATTTTCGACCCATCAACTTCAAAAACATATTCCAACATTTCGTGCACTTCCGCTGCTTGTTCTAGTCTCAAATCAGCTACTGGAAACAGCCCAGGTTGTTCTTCCTCTAATTGCGTTTACGGGATTCAGTACGGTGATTCCTCATTCACAATTGGGTTTTTTGCTAAGGATAAATTAACCTTAACACAAAATGATGTGTTTGATGGGTTCATGTTCGGTTGTGGGCAAAACAACAAGGGATTATTCGGAAAAACTGCTGGATTAATCGGTTTAGGCCGCGATCCACTCTCCATTGTTCAACAAACAGCTCAGAAATTCGGAAAATACTTCTCTTACTGCCTTCCCACATCCCGGGGGTCAAATGGTCATTTAACATTCGGCAACGGTAACGGGGTAAAAGCTTCAAAAGCAGTAAAAAACGGCATCACGTTCACGCCGTTTGCTTCGTCACAAGGGACGGCATATTACTTCATTGACGTACTCGGTATTTCCGTCGGTGGAAAAGCTTTATCGATAAGTCCGATGTTGTTCCAGAACGCCGGAACGATTATAGATTCCGGTACGGTGATTACACGGTTGCCGTCGACGGCGTACGGCAGTCTGAAGTCAGCTTTCAAGCAGTTCATGTCGAAATATCCCACGGCGCCGGCTCTTTCTTTGCTGGACACTTGCTATGATTTAAGCAATTATACTTCCATTAGTATTCCGAAGATCAGCTTCAACTTCAACGGCAATGCGAATGTGGAATTGGACCCGAATGGTATTCTTATAACAAACGGTGCATCTCAGGTTTGTTTGGCTTTTGCTGGAAATGGAGATGATGATAGTATTGGGATTTTTGGGAATATACAACAACAGACATTGGAGGTAGTATATGATGTTGCTGGTGGGCAATTAGGGTTTGGTTATAAGGGATGTTCTTAAAGAACTTTGGTAAAGTTAAATTAAATTGTAATACTGCAAAAGTATTGGGAAATGTATATCCATACATTTACTATAGTTTATGAGAACAAATAATCTCAGCTACAATGTGGAGTAGCATTTGTTTTCCTTTTCCTTTCTGATATTATTTTTACTCTTATTCTCCCAATTTTTAAATTTTAAATCTGAACACATGCATATAAACAAAATATGATACTCTGAACGTGAGCGATCAAGTGCAGAACACCTAAATCTAAAGCATAACAATAAAGAGGTTTTGTAACCATTCCGGTTGCCCAGTTGGTTTGGACAGTGATCATCCAAATCTGGGATCGAATCCCCCTCACTGTCTTCTGGATTGAGCCTGTCGCACGGGACTTGACAGAAGTTGTAGCGGCAGCAGGTTTCCCCTCTTGCCAAAAAAAAAAAGATTTTGTGATAATTTTCAAGATTGTGAAATATTCTAGAATGATACTAGAACAACAAGCTATGTAACCAGATAATTTCAGGACGTCCCAATTTCTTCGCATTTAAGGGTTAATTGCTAGATCAATTTCTTCGCATTTAAGGATTAATTGCTGGATGTAAACCACTCAATCGCAAATACCATCACCAATGTAATCACATTGCAAATAATTATATTATTTGTCACCTACTACATTAAGCTACATTTCATGTTGGGTTAAAATATAATTTTAATCATTTAAATATTGGATGGTTATAATAGTTAAGACTTTAAAGTTAACTATGATTAAACTGGATATTTTACTCAATCCCCCAAGTTTTGACGACAAAATTTAATACATAAGGCATGATTACTTTTGCAAGATCGAGAATAATAAGGAACTGAGGATTTAGTTGGGACTTAGGAGGCATTTTTACTTTTGTTTTTACTTGGGATCTTGTTCGATCATAGTAAATCCTAGTCTTTAAAAATTTTACCTATAATTTAATCGAAAATTTTCCCTATAATTTAATCGGCTAGCCGGTAGTGTATGGGGTGAAATTGGTTGATAACATAACAGGTGGTCGAATGGTGAGGTGATACGTGGAACCGAAGACATGCAAAAGCTGAGTCAACAAATAACTGGCATCGGGTGTTGAGTATGTAACCGGTACCAGATAGATCACGAATAGCCGATAATAGTAATTCAAAAATTTGATATCAGATAGCATTTAATGAGCAGCCGTTACAGAGAATATCTGCATTCAAAGATAACGGGTATGCAACCATCAGTGGTGTTTTTATTCTCATTCAATAAGAGCTTGATTTTAGGATTTTATCTTCCTAAATAGAGCTATAAATAGCAGGATTAACAACCATGATAGGAGAGGAAATATTCCGCACTCAAAAGCTATAACCAAATATCTTGTTACGCTCAAATTGAACTATTTTACAATTGCTTTTACTTTTGTTCTCGGAAAGACTAAGTTGGGAGTCGGGTTTGTTATCTCCTATATATTTAGTTGTTAATCTAATTTTTGTTCTTATTTATTTATCGCTTTTGGATCAAATCGATTCGCTTGTCTATAAATCACGCTATAAATTCAACTGTATAATTTTACGGGCAAATAATTTGGCACTGTAATGATCCGGCAGGTCGTTTTGAGTATTGTAGTCCCGTCCCCCCATTTATTGCTTATTCTATGTTCGTTTGTTATTATGTGGTTTGCCGGGGTGGTTGGTTTGATTCCGGGGATGTTTCGGAATGAATTGAGATACTTAGTCCAAAGATTGGAAGCCTAAGTTGAAAGAGTTGGCCGGATGTTGACTTATGTGTAAATGACTCCGAAATAGAGTTTTAATGGTTCCAATAGTTTCGTATGGTGATTTTGGACTTTAAAGTGGGTCCAAATTTTGATTTGGAGGTCTGTAGGTCATTTTGGCTTGAATTGGCGAAAGTTGAAAAAGTTAAAGTTTGGAGAGTTGAGAAGTTTGACCGAGAGTTGATTTTGTTGATACCGGGCTTGAATTTTAGTTCCGAAAGTTGGAATAGGTCCATTGTGTCATTTATGACTTGTGTCACAAAATGCGTAGTTATTTTGTGATTGTTGGCTTGCCTAGTTCTGTGATAGGCGCCACCATAACATGTTGAGATTTGGGTCGTGAGAAGTTGGTATCAGAGCCAGGTTAGAGTCATGAGCAGGTTTAGTAGAGTCTTGCGGATCGGTATAGAGATGTCTGTACTTATCTTCGAGAGGATGCCGAACCATTAGGAAACTTCACTTTCTTGTATTCTTGTTGTGCGGATTTGTTGATTCCGGGAAATTAAACTTCTATTATTCTATTCTCTCACAGATGGTGATGACACATGCTACCGGATCGGGCGGGCGACCACCAGTACCACCAGCTAGGACTACGAGAGGCCGGGGTCACGGTAGAGGCCGAGGTGCAGCTCGTACATCAGCTAGAGCAACACTTGTGAAACCATCACTTGCTTCAACTCTGGAGCAGATACTAGATATGGTGGAGCCGGTAGGACCAGCTCAGACACCAGCTATGGCAATTGTGATTCCAGGCCTTCAGGAGGCTTTGGCCTAGATATTGACTGCATGCAATATCCTGGCTTAGGCGATTTCAGTTCAGGCAGCACCGGCTACTTCTCAGGCCGGGGGAGGTGCCCAAACTCCTGTCGCTCATATTTCAGAGCAGGCGGTTTAGGGACTTCAGACATCGGGGGTACTACCAGCCCAGCCGGTTACGGTTGCTCAGGCCCAAGTGGGTCCACCTATGAGTGACGAGGAGCAGAAAAGGCTAGAGCGAGTTTGGAGGCTCAGGCCTCCAGCATTTAGTGGGCATGAGTCAGATGATGCTCAGGATTTCTTAGATAGGTGCCAGCGGATCCTTCGCATGACGGGTATTCTGGAGAGTAGTGGAGTCTCATTTACTACTTTTCAGCTGTCAGGGGCAACCTTCAGATGGTGGGAGGCCTATGAATTGAGCAGGCCAGCCGGTGTTGCACCACATACGTGGCATGAGTTCTCAGTTCTCTTCTTAGAGAAGTTTATTTCACAGACTCGCAGGGAGGAGTTGCCTAGACAGTTTGAGAAGCTACGCCAGAAGGGTATGTTAGTGACCCAGTATGAGATGAGATTTTCAGAGTTGGCTTGTCACGCGATCTGGTTGGTTCCCACAGAGAGGGAGAGGATTAGAAGGTTCATTGATGGCCTCAACTATGGATTGCGCTTCGTCATGACTCGGGAGATTGCATAAAGTGCTAGGTTCAATGAGGTGATTGATATTGCTAGGCGTATAGAGAAAGTTCGCAGCTAGGTACGCGAGGAGAGGGAGGCTAAGAGGCCTCGTGGTTTGGTTGGTTTCAGTGGTGCTTCTTCTGGAGGATAGTCCCACCATAGCAGGGGTTACCTTTATAGGCCCGCTCAGATGGCTCATCCGGTTCATCGTGGTGAATCACCTTATCATGGTTCATACAGTGCTCGTCCGGATCAGTCATCTCTCAGTGCCCTCCCACCTCAGAGTTCATCTCGTGCTCCATTAGTTCAGGGTTTATCAGTACCAGTTCCTTCTAGCAGTTATTCTGGTTCTCGGGGGTTCGATTCAGTACCAGTCGCCATTGTCGGATCGGGGTTGCTCTGAGTGTGGAGAGTTTGGTCATTTGAAGAGGAATTGTCCCCGTCTTTTTGGGAAGTCCAGTTCAGCTGAGGGGTCAGGCATCTAGAGGTCGCCCTAGAGAGGGAGGCCGATCAGGTGGCGGTCAGGCTCAATACTATGCTTTTCCCGCCAGGCCAGAGGCCGTTGCTTCAGACGCAGTGATCACAGGTATTGTCTCAATATGCCAAAGGTATGCTTATATATTATTTGATATGTATCATCGTATTTTTCTCGTTATTTGGATATGATCCGTGAGTCCTTAATTTTGCATGTTTATGTGTCTATGCTGGTGGCCGATTCTATTATTGTCGACCGTGTGTATCAGTCATGTGTGGTGAACATTGGGGGATTGGAGACAAGATTTGTTCTCTTATTGCATAGTATGGTTGATTTTGACGTGATTCTGGGCATGGATTGGTTGTACCCATGTCATGCTATTCTAGATTGTCACTCTAAGACCGTAACGTTGGCGATGCCGAGGTTACCTAGGATCAGGTGGAGAGGTTCTCTGGACTATGTTCCTAGTAGGGTGATTTCATATTTGAAGGCCCAACGGATGGTTTGGAAGGGGTGTTTGTCATATTTGGCTTTTGTGAGGGATGTTGGTGTTGATACTCCTATAATTGATATTATTTCGGTAGTGCGAGACTTTCCGGATGTGTTTCCTGCAGACCTACCGGGCATGCCACCCGACATAGACATTGACTTTGGTATTGACTTGGTGCTGGGCACTCACCCCATTTCTATTCTTCTGTATCGTATGACACTAGTAGAGTTGAAGGAATTGAAAGAGCTACTCCAGGAACTTCTTGATAATGGGTTTATTAGGTACTATGCTTATGTGCATTGACTATAGGTAGTTGCACAAAGTTACAATTAAGAACAAGTATCCTTTTCCGCACATTGATGACTTATTTGACCAGCTTTAGGGAGCTAGAGTGTTCTCTAAGATTGATTTGAGGTCTGGGTATCACCAGTTGAATATTTGGGACTCTGATATTCTGAAAATGACATTTAGGACCCGCTATGGTTACTACGAGTTCCTTGTGATGTATTTTGGGCTGACCAATGCCCTAGCAACATTCATGCATCTCATGAACAACGTATTCTAGTCATATCTTGCTTCGTTTGTCATAGTATTTATTGATATGTACTCACATAGCCAGGAGGAGCTTACACAACATCTGAGGATTGTACTGCAGACGTTGAGGGAGGAGAAGCTTTGTGTTGTGTTCTCCAAGTGTGAGTTTTGGCTCAATTCGGTGGCGTTCTTGGAGCACGTGGTGTTTAGTGAGGGGATCAAGGTGGATCCGATGAAGAATGAGGCGGTTCAGAGTGGCCCCATACTGTCTTCAACTACTGAGATTCAGAGTTTTCTTGGCTTGACCAGATATTATCGCCACTTCGTGGAGAGTTTCTCATCCATTACAGAGCCTTTGACCAGGTTGACCCAGAAGGGTGCCCCATTCAGGTGGTCTAATGAGTGTGAGGAGAGCTTTCAGAAGCTTAAGACTGCCTTGATCACAACTC